CAGTAAGCGGAACAGTCCAGCTGCCTCGCGGATACGACTAAACTCGATACAAAAAGCCTGCACCTCAATGATCAAGTCCTGGATCAAAACAATCGTTAAAAGTCTATAGCCTTGTAATAATACAAACCCAAGGCTGGACGTACCTGCACGTTAATGATCTTGTTACGGATCAGTGACTGCAGGAAGACACACACCAGGCGCACCAGACGGTTCTGCATGTACTTGTCCTTGATGTTCTCACACGACGAAATGCAGTTGGAAATGTACAAGTGGATGAACTCGGTCGGCAAATCCACGGCCGTCGTCAGGCGATTCACGACCTCCATCGAGTGTAGTGACATGTCCATGTTCACTAGAGCGGACAGGTATTCTGTGATCTGGTTCGAGGACATGAGCTTCAGCAGGCAATCGATGGCCAGCATCGGGTTGTTCTCCACTAGATCTGGCAATCGCTGAGGCGTCAGTGAGCAGTGATACACGAGCTTGGGGTCGGCTTCAAGCTCCGCGAGCACCTTCTGCTGCAGCGACGGCACTAGCGGTTTCTGAAATGCACGCAGCATAAGTTCACGCAGAGCGATCCCGTGCGCCGAGTCCAGCATCGTCGAGTCCCACAGCACTGTCGGACAGTAGTCTGGGTTCAACCAAATCAACTCGGTCATATCTGGCTCTAGAATGGGCGGAGGGAGACGCATAAATGTTGGCTCGAAGCTCAATAGCGATAGGGATCCTGTAGACGACGCACTCGCAGCAGAACTTGACGCAGCAGCGGGAGTTCCGGTCGATGGCTCAGCGTCACTAAGCAGGCTCATCTCTTCCAGCGACAGCGCTTCAAAGCACGGTAAGTTCAACGAGCTGACCTCATTCGGAGGTACTTGCAGATTGGCCCCATTGTTCACGTGTTCCTGCAGGTCGAACTCTGTGTCTGTCACCACATTGCGGATACCTGCTGCTCGAAACTGCGGGACTGATGGGGTTCGCTCCAAGTAGCTGCTCCTCATGGCCTCCACGTCGAATTGGACTGGTTGTGACGGGTTCGCTCGGAGCTCTGCCATCATCTGCTTCGCTGTCTTCTTGCCCGACTGTGTCAAAGGATTCACGGCGTTAATTTAGTCCTCACCCTTGTCCACTCTCGTGTTTTCGTACCTCGCGATTGCCTGTAGGCGACAGCAGGTGCACGATGAACTTCTTCTCGCACAGATCACTGCCCTTCTCCAGGGCGTCCAGGAACACGGGCAGGAACGGGTTTGTTGTGGCGCCTTCATTGCGGTACAGATCACTCAGGATCGAGAAGCTTACGATGCGCTGCAGCAAACGCAAAAAGTGTCAGTCTCTTTGTGCTCGAAGCTCTCTTCAGTTCAAACAGTAGACATAGCGATCGGACCTGTGAGCTAGTAAGCAGATTATCTTGTAGCAGGATGCAGATTGTGCAGCCCACTTTGAAGTGGTCATTCTTAGTGAACGTGCGCAGGAACATGCTGGTTACTTGCTCCATCGGCTTGTCGTCCTCCTGCAGAGCAGCAGAAAGGTCACATACGCGTCGTTAGCGTCCGATTTCATAGACTTATACCGCTCGTTTCTATCGGCTGATCGTTTAGCGAAGCCTCAGCGATGCTGCTGTCCTCCTGCTTTCTATGAGAATCCTGAGGCCAATACGAAGCGAGCGCGACTGCTGACTACGAGGTACGTACATTGAGGATGGCTAGAAGCGGCCTCAGCTCTCGTATCTCCAGCATCTCGGCGGAGGGCGAGGGGAATGAGGTCAACGCGGAGGCTTCGTGCGCAAGGCTTTTTCGCCTTTTAACGGGAGGCAGCAGAATGCGAACTTAATGAAATGCAAAGGCGAACTTAACCTCCCTTTCAAAGTGCCACAATCATTTTTACCTGGATTGAAAAGCAACGATGGCTCCATCTGCTGCTGTACATGTATCCGACTCGCTGCTGGCTCGCGTGCGGCCTTCGTGTGCCAAACTGGTGGCGCATGAGTCTTCGTCTGTGCGTATCAGTGCGGACAAGGTGCGCACGTTTGAGGAGCAGCTAGACGCCAAAGAGTTCGAGCAGCTTGCGGAGCCTTTGAACTTCCCGCTCAACTTCCGCTCTCAGCAGGACGAGATCAACTTCCTCAGTGCGTCTGGAGTTGTATAGTCTGCTTCGATTGCTAATTGTGTAACTGGTGTATGATGACAAATTACAGCATTGTATGGGCTGCTGAACTTCGGCAGTGGGTTCAGGAAGGACCTGCACAAGTACACGGATCGAGGAGCTCACGACACCATTGTGAGTGTCTTTGCGTGAGTGTTAGGCGAGAGTGGATATTTAACGCTATTTTGTTATGGTCAGGTGTTCGGACTCATTGGCATGTACATTTCAGTACCCAAGTTGGACGCCCAGTTCATGCAGGGCTTGACCATTGACCTGGTGGCGAACTACTTCAGTATTCCACTGGAGAAGGACGAGGAGGTCTCTCCGGGTATTTACATGGCCAAGCCGGTAGGTCACGCACATTTCAACATTAAGGATATTATATCAAGATTTCATCGTCGTGTATTGTTGGACTTTGGGTAATGCAGGGACCATTGAAGTCCCTAGCTGTGATGATTCAGAAGGTGAACAGCTCCTGAGAATTGAGGGTGAGCAATGGAGCGCTAACCATTGACAATGTGTCGGTGCTGCTATCGGCTATAGATTCTGAACGAGTCTGGCCAGAAGCTGATTGACTTGAAGATGGAAGATTTCGGAGCGTTCGTCCTGGCCAACCTCACGCCAAAGCCTTCCGATGACAAAGAGGAGAAGGAAGCTGTCGGGGCCAGCGCGGAGTATTTAGTGGATCAATTCGCGGCGACGTTCCCGGGCTTTGACGACCACTACGAAATCCACGGCGAGAACGTGTACCTCCTCAAACGTGCTCAACTCGCTGTCGCGTGCATCCACCGTCGATTCAAGGTAAAAGCTCTGATCACGGCTCTAAACGTCGCCTTCCAAGCTAAGCCGTTCAATGCTCTCTTACTCCAGGATTCCGAGCCGAAATTGACATTTGCAGACATCAACGAGCTCACAGCTTTCAGTGACAATGTAAGCTTGTGGCATTCGGGTAAGGACACGATATACTTGCTGACTCGTTGCCCTTGCTTGTTCAGGTGTTGCCTTGTGTCCTCCACGCTCTGGGTGTGCTTGAGGTAAGGAAGAAGCTGTCAATCGGTCGGCGGTCTTGGCTCTTAATCTAACAGTCATCGCGGTGTTCCAGTACGATGCGGACTTGGAAGCCCGGATCAACCGCGGCGAGGAATTGCCTGCGGGGAAGGAGGAGTGCGAGTTGCGCGCCGCTGCGGTTGTTGCATGCGATCAGATCGTGGCCGAGAGCAATGGCCGCATCGGCGCCCTCGAGTTGGATTTCTATCTGTGGCGTGTTGGCAAGGAAGCTCGCTTCCGCGGTCTCGAGCGTCATGCTACACGCAACACGTTCTTCTACTAGATAAGTTCGACCACCGAGGTGCCATTTTGCTTGCCAGTCGCGGATGCGGCACGGCCCGTGCCACGGGCTCATCTAATGTCAAATACGATAATTTTCACG